GCGCGTGTACTCGCTCGACGGTGTACGCGCAATAACGGAAGCCTCACACCTATGCAACGGGCCGTGCAACGGGCGCATGCTTATTCGCCGGGGAAACGGGCCGACGTGGTGGCGGCGGTGGATACGCCGATATCATAAATCTTTTCGCGCAAGAGGATCGCAATTATCTTGCACATTAAAAGCATCGCCTGTCCCGATGGGTTCCTCTCCTCTTCCTACCGAGAGGCCGAGATTACGGATCGAAGCCGGACCTCGCTCTCGAATGCCGCCGCGCGATTACACGGAGAACGTCAAAAGCATGCGGGAATTTAATTTCGGGGCTGCGAGATACCAGAAGAAACATCGCCGATCCCGCTTGTCAATTTTTTGCGTCTATTGGGTGGCCCGGTATATATCCCCCCGTTTTTTCGTCGCTCGAGCCTGATGGGATCTACGATATTCGCAATTATCGGGAGGCGCCTATGCATTTATGGTGTCGATTAATTTTTGAGACGGAGGTTTCGAGATTCTTTTACTTTTAGAACTTTGTTGTAAGTTGTTATAGTTGGTGTTGAAAGATTCTTGATACGGGAAGAAATGGTTTCTCAAAGTTAGGTTTAATTGGGATAGTTATTCGTGCGAGGTAGTTTGGATTTTGCATCGAGGAAATAATGAGGGAGCCATTTGACTAACTAAATGGAATCATGAAGAATTCCTTCACGGTGCGGGGCAGTTGAGTTACAACCCCGCGGTGGCTTACTTTTCACGGCAACGTGAAAATGCGTTTCATGCGTCCCGGCGCGCAGAAATATTGCACACTCTCCGGCGATAATATGCACCGTACGAACAAGATAAACCGCGCCCCACCTCGCCATCTTACTTTGTAATTACCGATATGGTTAAGTCGGCAACGAACGCGCCTATTCCGCGGAGATAATTTTTACGCCGGTTACCCTGTCAAACTAATTGGCTTGATCACGATCTGGAAGACTAGCCAGTGCCAAGATGCTTCAGCGGGGATCGTTCCGGCGTTATCTCCTCGGCGGATCGGCGAAGAAAGGAAGGAAAAAAATTATTATTAAATAGCTAGCATCCGCGTCCGGATCGTGGGCAGAAGATACAAATGACGAGGAACAATTAAATTGAAAATCCTGGTCGGTACATCCACGAACTTGAATCAACTGTGTTGAATTATTTTTCCACAGGGACATGATTCCTATCCGGAAACATTAATCTACAGTTGGAGTGAGACCGAGCGTGTTTAATGGAAACAAGTGAATTCTTTTAATTAAGATAACACTTTTGAACTGAGACATTGTAATATTCATTCTACTAAGCAATATAAACCTATCATAAAATTGTATTTTCCACAGTAACACCTTCGATTCATCAGAAACCAATCGAACTCCATAAAAATTCAATGTCTTCCGGAAACCCAATAATTATCAGTTAATCCCGAATCGAGGCAAATAACGGGACACGTTGAACGGAGAAATTTCGTCGGGAAGGAGCACGGTGATGCATCGATTGCCAGCGGAATCACCATGGAAGCAATAAAACTTTCATCGACAAGCGTCACGTGACCCGACAGGTGGCCATTTAGCTGTGAGGGCGCGCGTCGCAAATGGCGGGCGTCGCGGGGAACCCCGGGGCAACTGGGAGAGAGAGACCGGCGCGCGTTTCGTGACGATCGGCAGTAAACGGACACTCCGATGCGCACTCGAAATGCCATGGTTTCGCGGGGGCCCGGCCAACTATGCCGGAATTTCCTAACCGGTGTAACGCGAGTGTCCCGCAAAAGGTGCCAGGGAATCTCGGCGTTGTTCGGCAACGGGCAAATGCCCCGGGAGCACCTGCATCTATAAAATTGAGCCATGCATTATTCATGGGGTGGCCTGCTTATAGCGCGGCCGCTTAGCTCAGCTGGGTGTTTTGCAACGTTGGAAAAGAAAACGGGCGGCCACCGCCTGAAATGGATAGCCAGATAAATTGATATGAGGTTTATCATGATTGGTAGCCCTGTAAGGGTAATGGGATCGAGCGCGAACTAATAGACACCGGCTAAAAGTGGAGAGCGCCGACGAAATTGGGTAACGTAATCGAAGATACGCCGTGTATCAATGCCGAGGACTGTTCCCTGGAACTGGAAACATTGATTCAAAGCGTTTCGAGTATGCCTTTAGAGGTACCACGGTGTGGATCACGGTAATAAGGGGGCGAGGGAGTTCTTCGAGGCTTCGATGTATCGGGTCGACGATGGTTTTGCGTTAGAATTTAGCGGACGACGGTGCGGATTGATTTTTGTAGCTCGCGGCCTGGCGCAGGGGATTAGGAGCATAATTTTGCTGGAGATGGATCGATAGGGTTGCGTGCCAGGAACAGGGAATGTGTATTGTTCGATGAAGCGGGAAAAGACGTCTGCGTGCCGACATCTGTGAGCGGAGCCAGGCACTCGATCCTCTTTCTACCTTTGACTGGCAGCAAAGTATGAACCGCGGACCTTTTATCGGCGATTCGGCCTGTTCGGGTGCAGCTTCGGAGCTGGACCGAGAGATGGTCTTAACGAGACTCGTTTAATACGAGATTCCTGCTTTGGATTATTTCAGGGGATTATTTTAGTGCACTGGAAGTAGTGGGAAAATTATTCTAATGCTATAAAACTTCTACGAGATTATACTATTCTAGAGTACAAATATAAATATTTAATGAACTTCCAATAAGAGTGATCCTCTACGATTTTCCTATGCTTCAGTTTCAAGTATTCAAATATTTAGAAGAAAGAAGTATTATAAAGAAACTTACGTTGAAAATGTAATGAAATTGTGATTATTAATTACGTTGAACATTCTGCGATACACTATTTTATGAGGCACTAGTGGATATAGAAACACTTTGACGCGATGCTGAGCGATTCCGAAACAACCACCGCTCGCGCGAAGTTCACCGAGCAACTGAAGGGTAATTCGATGGCGAGAGAGTACCGAGAACCCCTCGGAACATCGAGTTTGACCTTGAGAAGCATTTCCTCGGATGTGGAGAACAAGCGGTGGCGAAGGTCCGGAAGTAAATAAGAGCAAACGCAGCGGGGCGCTGAAACCTGCGCTCTTACCTAACCGGCGACAGAAAGCTCGGGGTTACGGGGGCCGGCTATTATCACTTCGTTATTGCCGTCATAAATTTCCAACTCGTTAGACCGGAATCGGCCGTGCAATTCTTTACAGACGTAGGCAGCCGGAGAAAATTTCGGTGAACCTTTTCCGGCAACCCTTAGCCTGTCGTATTTCGCAAAGCAGGTGGCTTGCCCGACTATTGCGTCCTAGTTAACAACGATTTAAAGGGTTCGGTGTCTACCTGAAGAAGACTTTGACCCTTTTAAACGGTAGAAATAAATTTCTGTCCTCTCGATGGGCAATGATCTTGAATTCCTGGATGCGCGAAGATGTTGAGATAAGCGAACTAATGTAAAAACGAACGAAGAAAACTAGTTGTTGTTCTAGTTAACAACGATTTAAAGCGCTCAGCAGCTACCTGAAGAGGACTGTCGTCCTTTTAAACAAGAAAAATGAATTGCATGCTCTCAATGGGCAATGATCTTGAATTCCTGGATGCGCGAAGATGTGGAAATAAGCGAACGAGTGTAAAACGAACGGAACGAACTAGTTGCAGTTCTAGTTAACAACGATGTAACGAGTTCGGCAGCTACCTGAAGAAGGCTCTGACCCGTTTTGAGGACAGAAATGAATGTCCAAACTTACAATGGTCAATGATCTTGAATTCCTGGAGGTAGGAAGGCGCAGAAACAAGCGGCCCAATTTAACAGCGAACGGAAACAACTGGCCACGGTGTCATGGGAATAAAAGTGGATGAGTCCGAGACACTGCCAAGCCGTGGAGCCAACGAGAACTCAGCCAGAAAGAGAGAGAGAGAGAGAGAGAGAGAAAACTTTTATGGGGGGGCTATAGCACGGTGTATACGTGTGGTGAAACTGCCGGGCTAAAAGGTCAGCGCAATAAATAACTCCGGACGTCGGTATACCTAGAAACTGGAGACATTATGCCAATCTTGGCTCGCGTACCGTACAAATGTGGTCTAGTTTTACCTACTGTTGCATAAATCTGAAAGCAGCCGGCTACCTGGCGTCCTCTCTAGAAAACCTTGCTTTCTACGAAACCTTCTGGTCACGCGGCTCGAGCCTTGAGCCTATTTTCGAGAACCGCGTCACGTGTACCCGGCTACCGATCTATGCTCGCGAATACGAAATTCCTTTCGTTTCCCCTGTCCCGTGCCGCGGGAATTCTTTTCTGGACGAATTGATGTCTTCCGCGTGGAAGAGGTCACCTTACCAAGCGAACGGAAGACCGGTGTCATCTGAATTCCAATGGGAAATTTGGATTTTCGCCGGCGATCCTTTCGGACCGCCATGACTTTCTCTGGCATCGCGAATTTAAGGAAACACTCCCCTATGGTAATTTATGTAAACGTTTATCCAACACCGGATGATTAATAGCTTCTTAAAGACCAATCATCGACTCAATTATCGGGACTTGTTAATCAGTTTTTTCTAGCAGCAACAGCATTGCCTCCGGGTAGGCAGAGTGTTAACGTTAAACGGCACTGCGACTAACACGTGGGCAGAAAAGAGATTTCGATCAACTTTCCGTGACGCTCTAATGAATCTAATTGATCCTCGTGGAAAATGAAAACCGGTTATGATTGGTTACAATCTCATGCAAATGATCCCGATAGTTCCTCTTCGATAATCACTCTCATTCGGCTTACTGGAGCGAATCCTCAACGACTCCAAAGACAACCCCGAATTTTCAAACTGAACGACCCACGATCACCCTGCAGATTTTCCTCAAGAGACACCCGCAACCTCGAAGTCTCTACACCGAAAACTACATATTCCAAGATCCTCTCCGCTTCATCAACATTCCTAAAAGATTCATCCGGCACCGTCGAAACTGAACAGCCATCGGTCCCCGAATCCTCGAAATCGAAAAGCCAAGACGGCAACTCACCGAATTGACTTCTCATCCACGGATAAAGGGGGCTGGGCAGGTTGGCACTGGCCGCGCCTTGGGGCGCGCCCTGTTGCTGCTGGCTGAGC